GTTTTCTGCCTAGAGAGGAAAGGAGAATGGATCCCTACTTTCTCCTCCGGGTAAAAGGCTTTCCAGCCTTCATTTTTTTGATCTGCCATACAGCATATATATTTTTTAATGAGTCAGGAGTCAACCAACCAAGAAAAAGATGCATCACAACAGGAAGAAAAGTTTGAAGAGGTGGGTGAGGAAAGAAGCACCTTTGCAAGAATAATAATAATAAATACTGCTTGAATTGTAGAAGTTGTGGGAAAGTTCTGGCTTTGGGTTAAGGCAGCTTTGAAAGACCCTTGTGCTGCAAAACATCTTTGCACTAATGCAGCTGGATAAGCTGGTGCATTAAGTGTGGGGTCTCCCTTCCTTTGAGGCCTGAAAGTTGGGTAGCTATCCTTCGCCTCCTCTTCCTCACTCCCAGTTAGTTAGCTATTGGATTAAATAAGGTGTCCCATATAAGTCTTCCTTTGAAAAGACTAACAATGATACTGGAGTGTGATTCTCATCATCATCATCATCTCTTGCCATTGGACATGCCAGGCTGATGGATTAGGAATTCACACCTTACCCATTCAGGCCAAAGAATCTGTGCCTGTTTCATGAAACACAGTGTGTGTATGTGAACAGATAGTCCTAGTTGTAGCTCACTGCAAAGGTTGGGAAACGTTGAAGAAATAATTTGGGGGATGAGTGAAACCTCATGCTGTGGACCTTAGTTCAAAGCTCTTTAGAGTGGCAGCCGTCCAAAAAGAGTAGCCAAAGCTACTCAGCCACCCTAGTCTTTTCTCCTAGGAAATCTTCTTTATCTGTGGAGAAGGTGCCATTGTTAACTGTGTTAAACCTAGCTGATCGATGCAAGCCCCACTGTGCCTATTGGTGCAAATATCCAAATTAGCATGTATGGGGCTGTTCATTGAGAAACTCACTGCTCTTCTTTCTTGGCACTGGGCACAAAGGTTTTACAAAATTTTATCAGCATTTCCCTGGGAAAGTAAGGGAAGAGAGAAGTACTAATTGTGGGCCTGAAATCACCCAGAAGAGAAGGCTAGACATTTAGAAGATTAAAGTCTCCACCATCCTGTGATTTTTCTGGTTGTCTAGAGCTATGCTCCTGGCTACAATCCTGCAGATTTTGTCAGCTAGAGAAAGTCTTTGAGACCTCTGTTCTGGAGCCTCTCGGCAGGAACAGAGAAACACTTCCTGTTGGGTGGCATAGAAAGAAGGTTGACTGTCAAATATACTCACCCCACAGATGGTTCCACTGCCTCTTCCTGAAGGGAGAAGAGGTAACAGGACCGCTGTCTTTCTCCAAAGATTTAGGGTTTAGCTTGTGTAGAGGTTCTGCACACAGGTTCTGAAGATGCCATGTAATATTTAGGAGCTGACGGTAGACACTGCTATTGTCCAAGCCTGGTGGCCTGTTTCCCATGTTCCTCTCTTACTATTACTAGAGCAGGTGGTGGTCACCAGCCATACTGTTCCAAAGATGAGGATTTAAACCTTTTTGATTCAGGCCAGGTGATTCAGTATGCAAAACGTGATAAAGTCTTGTTGGTGTAGCATGCAAGTGTATTTTCCAGTTGGTGTATCCACAGCCCACTGTGGCATTTTTTTCTGCTGTGACCCAATTTTTAAAGATTATTTGAAGCAAGGCAGGGGAGGGTGTTATAAACTGGATCCATGCTTGTTAGCACTGAAATGGCCAAAAGGGGGGGGGGAACTGCTTTTAGGAAGAAAGGCCATTTAATACAAATACACAGGAATTGGGGCAATGCTGAATAGTATTTCTCTGTATGTACTTATGCTGCAGCTATAGCCAATTTGGCCTAGTAATTAAAGTGCTGGTCTAGAAAGCAGAAGACAATGAGTTCAAGTTCTGCCTTAGGCTGGGTGACTTTGGGCCAGTCAGTCTCTCTCAGCTCAACCCATTTCACAGGAAAATAAGAGGAGGAAGGAGTATTATATATACTTGCTGCCTTCAGTTATTTATAAAGTAATAAAGAACAAAAGTCTGAAAAAAGAAAGCAAGAAAGAGGAAGGAAGGAAGGAAGGAGAGAAAGAAAAAGAAAGAAAGAAAGAAAGAAAGAAAGAAAGAAAGAAAGAAAGAAAGAAAGAAAGAAAGAAAGAAAGAAAGAAAGAAAGAAAGAAAGAAAAGAGAAAGTATGATGCCAAGGATAACCACAAGGCATATAGGTTAGAGCCACACAACATGCTGGACCAAGATAAAATTACACCTGGCTAACTTGTGATCCCGTCTGATCTTGGTCTTAACATGTTGTGTGAATCAGGCCAGCACTCAAAACCACTGAAAGATTTGGGCATAGCATAACATACGCTGTAATGGGAAAACAGTATTTGTGCTTGACTTTGAATCTGAGCATATAATATGGACTTCTCTGGTTATGTGGAAGCAGAGATCGCTGAACACAGTAGGAAAGCAAAGAAAGAAGGAAGGAGCATCCTTTGAAGAAGGGTTTTTTTTTTTTTTTTTGCTAATTGGCGGTCTTAATTTGCCCTTAATTTGCCAGTCTTAATTTGCGCTATGAGCCACCATCCGGAGGTCTGCTGCATAGCTGGTTCCTCTCACTTCTAGGAAAGTTAACAAGAGGAAAGAAGGGAGGGAAGTCCTTTATGGGAAATAGAGTCTCTTCCCACTGAGTAAAGAACCAAAGATCAGGACCTTAAGTGAATTTCCTTGTAGAAGCCAAGAAGGTTTTTCTAGCCAGTATGAAAAATTCATACTAGACGGAATTATTGGAAAGTTCTATTGGAAGCAATGATAATTTTTTTAAAAAATAGTCACAATATTCTGTGTAAACGTCCCCAGCTCTCTGGGGACTCTTTTCAAGGCAGATGAGATGGGGCTTAGAAGCCATGAAGTTTGGGTCATAGCCCAAACTTCCCTGCCTCCCCTTCTTTTTTCAGACTTTTCTTCTGTCTTTATTACTTTATAAATAATACTTCTCTACTTCCCCTTACTTTTTTTTAACCCCTCAACTAAGAAAGAGCCTTAGAGAAGAACCCCAAAGTTTGCAAGCAGTTTTGAGTCCTGTAGTCATTAGTCTGCCCTGATCTGGTTTTGTTAGTGATATCAATTTTATGAGCACATCAGTACCTGCTTGGCTGATACTTAGAAATTTGTTTCCTACAACTCCGTGCAATAAATTCTGGGGTTTCGATACCACGATAGGAAGATTGCTTGATTTGAAGGGGTATTCGTTTCAGCAACACTGATTTTATCTCGGTACGAACTTGTTTGTCGAGCTTGTTTGTCGGTAAACCTAAAAAAATCATCCATAATTCGCCAGCAAATGTTCAGTTTTGTAGAATGTGGTGTGTTATTGTTCAAATCTGAACGGTGGGAGAAGTCTTAAAGTGCTATGAAAAATAAGAATGACAACCAAACGTTGGAAGTGGCTCGGAGCCACCCAAAGTTGGGTCCCAAATGAGAACGGACGTTTTCCTCGGCCGAAGAAAAGTGCGCACGCTGACTCGGAGTGCAGGCTATAAACGCCAAACAGATTCTTTGGTGACCTGAGCGATTTCAGGAGAGCGTAGCAGAGTTTTGCTTTGGCTGGCCAATTGGCGCTCTTCTCCTATCGCTTTTGTTTTTCGGCAGCTTATGGGGCAAGCGCTAGCAGCTTTTAAGTCCCATTGATTTCATTGGAACTAAGCAACTAAGCTCGTTTGCCCGTGTGGAAGCTATCGAAAGCACACACGCGTTTCACCCGGGCTGGGTAGGCGGAATTCTAGAGGAAGATGCCTATGGACCGAACTCCTACGTTTTCTTCAAACTGAGTCCTGGAAACATTAAGAGGTGGATAAGAAGAATGTGGAAACGAAAATCTCTGGGCGCGTTAAGATCAGTTTTGCAGCATCCAGGGACGTAACGAGAATGTCAAATTTCCGCGTCAGAGTAAGAACCCAAAAGGGACAGGGAGTGGTAGAGACGGGCTTTGAGAAAGAGTAGGGTTAGATTTCTCTCTCTCTCTCTCTCTCTCTCTCTCTCTCTCTCTCTCTCTCTCTCTCTCTCTCTCTCTCTCTCTCCCTCCCTTCCTCCCTCCCTCTTTCAAACAGACGGGGAGAGAGAGAGAGAGAGAGAGAGAGAGAGCAATTAATGAGCTCATTTCATTCTGTGTTCTCCAGGCATGTAGTTCAGTGTGAGTTCGGAGACGACTCTCGGCCCCCAAAGTCCATTACTCTCGGAGCAATAGATGTCCGACCCTCTCCCTCCCTCCCTCCCTCCCTCCCTCCCTCTCTCTCCCTCCCTCCCTCCCTCCCTCCCTCGCCCCGCGTCTCTTGGAGGGGGTCCTAGTAGACCGCGGTTCAGAAAAGGATCCCTCTAAATCCAAAGGCTGCGGCCCGGCCCTCCGTAGGTTTCTTCCGAACGACCTAGATTCTCTGAGTTCGCGTTCGGGAACGCCTTCCCAGCAAACGCGGACCAGGGCCAGAGGTCCAGTAGCCTTCCCTCGCCACTCCTTCGACAGTGGGGAAGCAGGGGACCAACTCGTGGGGGGGGGGGGGAATCAATGAAAGAGTCTCACACACACACCGATCCTTGTTTGGCCGGGGAAGGACCTAATTCGCGTTCCCGACGGACTTTTTACCCTTAGACATTCCTAGCAGAATAAGGGGGACGGAAATGCCGCGGGAGGAGGGGAGCTTAGGAAAGAAAAAGAAACTCCGCCGTCGCGGACCGGACAGAATACCGGCGCGCGCGCGCGCGCGTTTCTCCTCATTCCCTTGGGAATCGGACCGTCTGTCCGTCCGTCAGGTTTAACAACCTTGTCTGATTGGGCGCCTTTCTCATTGGCTGCAACCGGGCAGTGTCAGCGCTCCCCTTCCTCTCCTTCCCCACCCCCTGGACACACAAACGCTCCACGTTCACACGCTCGGCCCGGACCCTCCCTGCCTCCTCTTCCCTCGGCTGGGAAGCGCCCCCTTCCTTTTTTGTCCAACGGGGAAGCCCGTCTGCCGAGCAGAACCGAACGACTCCGGAGTAAGGGAGGCTTGGAAGTTCGCGATGCCCCTGCGGCGCTCGGGACAGGCCGAGGGGGCCCGGCTGGTGGGCAGGTCGCGCTTCTCCCCGCTGGCTCCCGCCCGCTCCTCCCAACCCCTTTAAGCCGACCCGAGGGACAGCTGGGCGGCCGAGCCCGAGCGCTCCTTTCCCACCTGGGATCGGAGCGCTCCGAGCCTCCCCGGCGAGGTTTGCCGAGCGACCGGCTGCGAGGACGGGCCGAGAGCGGCGGCGGCGGCGACGGTGCGAGCGGACTCTCCCATTTACGCCTCCCCCGGTTTCCCGCCGCTTTGCCTCCGCTTTTGCCTCGCCAGCCCGCCTCCAGGTGCTGCTCTGCCTCCGGAGCCTCCAGGGCGGCAGAGCCGGCGCGCCGCCCAGCCCTGTCCGCGGCCGCCTTGACATGCTGCCCAAAGTGGAGACGGAAGCCCTGGGACTGGTCCGATCGAATGGGGAACGGGGGCACATGCCGGAAAACATGCAAGGTAAGAAGAGGGGGGGGGCGAGCGGACTGCCCTGCCGGCTGGCTGGCTGTCTGGCTGGCTGGCTGGCTGGCCGGCGAGGGGAGCTTGCATGTGCCCAGCTGAAAGGCGGGCGAGAACAAGCCAAGCCCCCAGCCTCCTCTTTCTCCCGCCTGCCGGGTAGGGCTGGCTCGCAAACAAGCAAGCAAGAGGCTCCTTCTGCGCCACGGGAGAGGCAGCCCTGCTTTCCAAGGGCTTCGGGTTTGCTTTCAGCCCGGGGGGGGGGAGAAGCCTCTCGCCCCCCCCCCACGTGGGGCTCACTTCTCTCCCGGCAGCCTTGATCGCAGCAGCGGCTTATTGGCGGGGCTGCTGTCAAAGCCGCCGGGCGCTCAACCCTTTCCCCCCCCCCACACCCCACACACACATACACCAGCTCCCCTTTTAAGTACTGCGAAGTAAACGAAAAGTCAAACGCCTGGAAAGTCGGGCCGAGGGACTTTTCGAGTCTGACGCGCGGAGGGCGCAGCGGCCGCCGGAGGCGCACTTGGAAAGAAGTTCCTCCCTGGAAAAGGCCTGGGGGGGGGGACTTCTTCTCTCCCTGGGAGGTGTAGGGCGGGGGGGGGGAGGAGGACCAGAGGAGGCTGCCCGAAGGAAAGGACTTGGGAACCGTCTTTCTTGTGTGTAAGGGAGGCTGACAAGCGACCCGAGCGATTGGCATCTCTTCCGGGGGGGGCGGGCGGGGGCGATGAGAAACAAATGCGATCCGGGCGATGCTTATATTCAGGGGTCGGCGTCCTTCAAAGGAGCGCGGGGTGGGAGACGGCAGAAATCCATCAACTGCCACGCTGCAGACTAATTCGTGGGATTTGTTTTCCTAGTTGCGGAGGTGTTAAAATCTTTTGGGGAGGGGGGATAATCCGCTTTGCAAACAATATCAGAGGGTCAGCCATCCCAACAGGGTCGCTCCGAATCGTGCGCTTTAGTATAATTGATATTGGGAAGGGGGGGGGGAAGGAAGGAAGGAAGGAAGGAAGGAAGGAAGGAAGGAAGGAAGGAAGGAAGGAAGGAAGGAAGGAAGGAAGGAAGAATGGAAAAAAGGCAATGTCTAAACGTATTTGGGGACATTCTTCTGCCTGTGTGGGCAGGGATTTCTTTTGTTTATTTTAATGGGAGTTTGACTGATTAAACTAGGGAACTTCCCCAACAGAAAGCAAGAGGGGTGTGTGTGTGTGTGTGCGCGCACGCTTTTTCCCAAACGGTGTCTGAAGGCTGCTAACCGCGTGCCCTTCACACGCCTCAGAAGATAGAGGCTGTAGCCTTAGCAAAGCCCTGCTTGTGGGCCAGGCGGCGGAGGAATGACCCCCGGCGCTCTTCATTGGATCGGAAGGGGGTATCCCTTACCAGGATCAGACGAGGCGAAGATGCCGAAGGAGGAAATCGCTACAGATCTCTAGGCTTGGGAAAGGATGGAAAAAGAGACTTCAGGTTCGGGAGGGAAGGGGGAATCTGGATGATCCTGCGCCGTCCTTCTCGGATCCCAACGACCACTGGGAGCGAGGGAAGCTGGCAGGGAATGAAAGGGCGGAAACATCGCGCGGAGTTTTCTAAGTTTCTTTCCTCTGGAGCGAAACTCCCCTAGCAGATGGCGGGAGTGCTCCGTGTTCTCCCGTCCCCCATCCTCACACACACCCCGGTGACTTGGGGTTTGAGCCCTGTTGCTGTGCTTGAAGCCATATTTACTTTCCGCCGGGACTGCGGAGCTTAGGTTGCTATCCCCGGAGTCCTGGACGCGGGGAACATAAAACCTTGGAGACAGTGGGTTGGCTTCTACTTTTAATACTTGTGAGGAATCAGTACTTAACGCCTTAAGGGACTTCGCTTCTTTCGGAAAGGATTTGCCAAAGTCCCTGGGAAACTTTACAAAAGACAGGACAGAAAGAATGGCTAAGGTGGGCCGGGAAGAGAGAAAGTAGGGTTGGGATGGGGGATGGGCTAACTACTACGGGAAATCCAGGAGCGCCTCTCTTCACTTTCTTATCCGGCAATCTCTTCAGGCACACCGCCCCCTTAGGTTTCCTTGATGGAAATTCAAAGGGCGAGTTTAATATCTATTTTAAGACCCTCCCTAGTTCTGATCGAGGGCGGCCGACCAGTTACAAATGTAGGAGCCTTCGAGTAAGGGGGGAGGGAGGGAAAGATCCCCCGTCTGTCTATATACTTAGGAAAGGCTCTTAGGGGCAAAAGTCCGTGGTGCTAACTCTGTATTCAGGATGGAAACTTCGATCCGTTGTTTTTTAATCGGGTTCCCCCCCCCCCTACCTTGACCCCGAAGACACACCAGGCTAAGTTCTTAATTGTGATTATTTAATTCGAAAGGGGAAAAAAAAAACCTGGAAGTCCCAGTAGTGTTGTCGACAAAAGGAATCGGCGTGTTTCTGAAGGCTCTGAGCTCCTCAAAACATCGCGCCATCCGGAAGGGCTTGGCCAAGTAATTCGCGGAAGCCTCTGAATGGCATGGAAGCCGTGCAGGTTTCAAATCGGATGGAAGGGGAAGCTCCCATTATGCAAAACGAAGGCTGACCAGTGGGATCAAAACAGGGCGGAAAACAGCGATAAACCATTTATCAGCCAGGAGAAGTGAAATGGGATTAAAACCAACCAACCCACTTTAGCCTCGATGTCTCAAAATAACTCGGTGCCGCGGCTTTTGACTTGGGGGGGGGAGGGTGGAGGAAGGAAGAGATAATGCGATTTGCTGCTGAGGTAGACAACATAAGTGGCTGTATTCCCCACACACACACTTTATCCCCCCCCCCATTAAGCGCCAGAAGCTGAGGGTAGAGATTTAGTGCGTGCATTCGCACTAAAACATTCAAGTTTGATGTTCAGTTTGGTTAAGCTTTTTGGGAAGGGGGGTCCATAAGTACTACGCAAACACTAGCCCTTTAGGTTAGTTTCTGCTTTAAGGGCTTAGGCCAGCCCAGAGCATGAATTTCATTGAGAAACGTGGCGAAGCGGGTGCCTTGTGAAAATGAAGCCGTGTCCTGAATGCCCGTTCCTAAAGCAATCCCTGCCACCTTAGGAAACACAATTGTCCGACCGCAGAGTGACTTGTTTTGTAAGGAGGTGTCGGCGGGAATTGCTTTTATTTCGGCGTTAAGAAGGACGCGGAGAGTTGGGTCCAGCGTGGGTAGCAGCAGTGGAAGGGGCAGGTCACTTTTCTCCCGGGCAAATCTGAACCGGGCAATTATAAATCCTGACCTGCCCCCAATAATTGCTCATGGCCTCTGCTAGAAGGCATCCAACCAGCCTGGTGCGGTCCACGGCTGGAGGATGCTAGAAGATGCTCGCAGGTAAATGAGCTTAAGGCTGTAACCCTGCCTTCTTTTGCTTCCTCTGAGGCAAGCCTTAGGGAAGGTCCTGCTAGCTTCTCCGGGGCGGTTGACAGTTGAAGTTCTTGCTTTGACGGCTCTGCCGGGAAAACTCCAGTCAGAAGGGGCGGACGAGCCGCTGAAAGCCTCTTCCCGGCTGAGGTGGTACCCACCAGCTCAGGGGGGCCTCTTTGATGGAGCAGGCAGGCGCCCATCCCGGATGCAGAGGCGAAGCCCCTTGGCCTCCCTCGCTTCTTGGACGGCTCCTTCGCCGCTTCTGCCCAGATCCCTCCCTCCCATCTCTCGATTCGGCCCTTTATACCCGTTTCGGGAACTCCCGAAGAAGGGCGCGGGGTTGTACGAAGCTCCTCGGGGATTCGCGTGGGTGCCTCAGCGGCAAACGGGGGAGGGCAGGTGGGTAGTTTTAAGATTTCGAAGCTTCTTAAGGCCCTTTCCTCCCCATGGTGGCTTCCCGGGAACGCAGCGATTTGGAGATGGAGGGACTGTGCCGCTTTCGCGCCTCACTCTCTCTCTCTCTCTCTCTCTCTCTCTCTCTCTCTCTCTCTCTCTCTCTCTCTCCCTCTCCCTCTCCCTCTCTCCCTCCCTCTCTCTCTCGGCTTCAGTCCTTCGTTTCCTTCAGAAAGGAACCCCCTTTGGGAACCGGCCTCGGAAAGAAACGCGCGCGCGTTTACAGTCGGCATCCAGATCTGCCTCGCTTCCACTTGGAAATCGGGCAATATCTGTGCGTGAGACAAGAGAAGAATCTCCGACTCTGGCCTAAATAGAAGGTCCGAAATCAAAACTGGGCCCCTTGCTACCCAGCCAACCTCGTCTTTACTTCTCTCAGATTAAGCATCTTGGGGTACCGAACAATTTGGGGTCGCGCCCTGCATTGGTCCCGTCTATTCCTCCTGTCCGAAAGAGGAAGAAGAGAGAAAGCGAACTTCCGCGTATAAGTGGAAGATCCCGGGCTGGGCGCACGGCATCTTCCTAGATCCCACCTAAAATTCCCGCCCCGAAAGTTCAGGGCCGACTAGCCAGCGCCTCCAATAGTAGCCGTGTCCGGTCAATGGTCTTCCTGCGCTGCTCCGGTGTGCCTAAAATCTGGGAAAGGATTTTAGTAGTATTTCCCGCTTCTCTCGCACTTTTGAAATTACGCCTCGCGTTCCCATTTCTCGACGGAGGGGGAGGGCAGGGATCCGGGTTCAGGTTTTAGCTGCTTCTCTCCCTGGCCAAGAGAACTTCCCTCTCCTCTCCCTCCCCCCCCCCCCAAACGCACATCCCTCTCTTTTTTCTCCGGGGTCGCTCGGACACCGATTCCCTCGCTCCCCCGACAGGAATCGGATTCTTTCGGGAGGATCTCGCTCCTAAATCAGTTGGGACTTTCCATCTCACTGAACTAATTCTTAGGATCGCGCCAAGAGGTTTTTCTCTCTGCTCTCTTAAGTAAAGATCTGTGTTCCCCACGGAAGGAAGGAAGGAAGGAAGGAAGGAAGGAAGGAAGGAAGGAAGGAAGGAAGGAAGGAAGGAAGGAAGGAAGGAAGGAAAGTTGTCCTAAGACTTTCTTCTTTGTTTTTAGTTACCAGCATTTGAAGGAGTTTGCAAGAGTTTGCAAGCTCAGCCTTCAGAGTCTTTTTTAAATCCTTGAGCAGTTTATGTATTTTCTCTGGTCGGTTGAAACAGCAAGAAAAAAGAGTTAAGGTAGAAGAATGATTTTTAAAAAAAAAATATTGTAAAATATGTAAAAATTGCAGTTCCTTCCCTTCCCCCTTCTCTTCATCTCCCTTTCTAAAATACTGTTTTACTGTAAGTTGTTGGTTTTTTCCCCCCACTCAGACTACTAGTTTTGTAAATTCGAAATGGGGGTTAGGTAAACATTTTTTTAAGGTGACTTGTTATAGACGAACTTTCAAAGTACAGAGAAAAGTTACTTTTCCACTTAGTCATCGGATTTTTTAATTTTTAAATGCAATTACATTTTAAATATATTACCGATAAATGGTGATCTTTATCCCAAGAATAATAAACTGAAGAAAAGTAAGACCGCAGCCTCAGGCATGTAAACTTCAGAGTAGGATGTCTTAAACTAGTCCTGCCTACTTATGTGTAAGCACAGATAGGAGTGAACTAAGAGTTTAATATATTGGAAAACCCAGTTTTGGGGATTAGTACAATCAAATGCTTGCTGTATTTAGAACTGTGGTTAGTTTTAACAGGTTTTATTCTGCTACATTGAATTTGGAGAGAATAATTTTGGTTACTAAAAAAAAAATCTGTTGTTTCAAAATTGTGTTTTCCTGTTTTGAGGATTTAAAGGGAAATAAAAAACCCCTGGATGTCCTGGAATTGTTTTCCCCAGTGAAGAAATAATGCATCAAATGTTTTGTATGCAATCTCATAGGGTTTAATTCCTCCCCCTATTTTTCTTCTTTTCTTCCCCCCCAGTGTCTCAGTTTAAAATGGTGAATTACTCTTATGATGAAGATCTTGAAGAACTTTGTCCTGTCTGTGGAGATAAAGTGTCTGGGTATCACTATGGACTCCTTACCTGTGAAAGTTGCAAGGTTTTGTACAATTTATTTTCATGGAAAAAGTGGGGGAGGGAGCTGAAAAAAATCAGATGGAGAAAAATGCTAGGTAATCATGCTTCTGTTATTTTTCTTTTAATGGTAAAAGAAGATTGTGAAGATGTGCAGTAGCATTCTTGGAAGGCAGAAGTTATGCAAAGAGTAAAGAGTAAGAAGGGTTTCTTTTAATGGAAAGAAAAACTTGCCCACGGTATTCTGTATAGGGCGGCTATATTTAATGCCTTTAAATATTTGGTTGTCGTGAAGTGATGTAGTTGTAGGGAGACTTTCATTCCCAGCTGTCCTCAATATTGATTTTAGTTGATTTATATACATTGAGTATTATTGTTGCTGCATCTTGTTCCTGATAAATTTCAGGGCTACAATGTTGAAGGCAACTGTTTCAAGTTTTTCATCTTTCAGGATGCAAATGTAAATTTCTCCTGACATTCTTTTTATGCTTGCACATGCTTATAAATGTGCGTACACCCTCCTACATACACAGCATTTTATGTCCATATTTATCTGCAAGGTGATTAAATGGAAATCAATTAAATGGTTTTAAAATGCTGTTCATCACTATGAAGAATATTTTTTGCTCATGCATTCTATTTTATATCAGCCAGAGTCTCAAAATTATAGAGGAGTGCGATGCAACCAGCTAGTAAAACCAGACTTGCCTTAGATCTGGAGTACATTGCAATTGTGTAAAATATTTCTGTATTGGGAAAGAAACCAAGCAAATTAGTACTGAAGCAACATCATTTTAACACTGCTTTCTGGAGTAACACATATATAATTTTAGGACTCTATAGAAATATTTATGCAGTAAGAACCTATATCTGTTAGAGTTACATGAATCAAATTTGGTAAGGGAACTTTTGAGCAAGTCAGTATTCATGCTGAATCAAAAGTTAATCACATTATAATACTACCCCCATGTATTTATGCTTACCATCCACTAGTCCCAGACTACAAAGAGATGTAAGAACTAGAATATCTGTTATTTAGTACATGATTTTAATCATCATGGTCACCAGAAATATTTTATGCAGCTGTACTTAGTGTTGAGGGAAGGGAGAAGGAAGACAGCCTTGCAAATAACTTTTTTTTTTAAATCCCAAAGAGTTTAAAATTCAGCTTAAAATTGAGAATCTCTAGAGACAGCTTAAAATTTAGTTTTAAATACCAGAGAAGTAAGATGACAGCAGTAATGATGGATGATAAAGTGAAGAATAGTACACCAGCAGAGGCAGGAGTAACCAGAGTAACAAGTGGTAGATTGGGGAAACATACCGAGGCACTCTTTCATTTGGGACTTAGAACTGAGTTAGGATTCCTATTGGTGAAGTCTAAAAAATAATAATAATAGGCAAATACAAATTTGATTTGTCTTAAAATTCTGCATTAGGTGATTTTGAAAGGCCACTTTCAAAAATTAGGGTCGTTTGAAAGAATTTTAATTCATTCAAATTGCTACTGGTAGATGATGGCGAGGGAAACAACAAAGATGCCTTGCCAGGATCTGATTAAATCAATGCCAGCACAGACTAGCCTCAGAAAAATTCTGCCTGTGGCCTAGTGGGTTTCCTCCAAGGAAATCTGGAACCAAACCAGCCATTTCATAAATGCTGAACTAGCAGGATGAAAGTAGAAGAGAGGATTTGGTGAATGTTTTCATAATCTGAAGTCAATTCTTGGTTCGGGCCCTTTGTGCCAAATTTGTAAACATGTTCTATCTATTTTACAGGGCTTCTTTAAGCGAACAGTCCAGAATAACAAAAGGTACACATGCATAGAAAATCAAAGCTGCCAAATTGACAAAACTCAAAGAAAACGCTGCCCTTATTGTCGGTTTCAAAAATGTCTAAGTGTTGGGATGAAGTTGGAAGGTAAGGTCTACGACTGTTCCTACATAAGAATAAAAATAATAATTACATATTAAATACAAGTCCTTCTACGTGCATTATTTGGACTGCTGTCATTTGAGATGTTACTTCAAAGAACTATTTGCTTATGATGGATCATAAAGAATTGAAGCTTACGATTCGCTAACCAGAAGTTTATTTCAAAGAGCTTGTCCCACATGCTGATGTGGTACTTAGATGTACATTTCAGATGTAAGTATTAGAACATGCAGGGTCAATATGTATAATTGTACAGTCCTGGTATTTCCAAAGAGTGCAGACTATCTGGAATTAATCATAAATACTTAGAACAAATAACACTGATTTCTTTAGACAAACAAAATTCAATCAGAGCAGGCAAAATAAATAATCGAAGTAAAATTGATGCTGTAGTGATTTCTAAAATGAAAACTTTTCAGGCATATCCGAGAGTTATAAATTCAATATAGCATATTGGACATTTTCCCCCTTCTCAGGGGCAACTGATCATTATTGTTGGTGGAATTCCTTGTAGGGAGGGATTATGCAGCTGGGCTAATCATTGACTAAACAATGATTTAGCACTTCATTGAAAGAGGGCTTGGTTTTCTTAAAAAAAAAAAAAAAACCCACAATACTCATCCAGTACAAATAGTTTTCAGTTTTTATGAAATTATTAAGGCATATTATAATGCTCCATAGCCCATTCATAAAATATGGGTACATCTTGTCACATTATTCTGTTCAGAGTAAATTACTATTACAGAATCTGAAACAAGGAAACAAAAGTTAGTTTGAAAAATATATATTGTAACCATGAATGTTGCTGTCAAAAAGTTTTAAAACTTTTCTGATAAATACTTGCCTAATGTAGACAGTTAGTAATGTTTTTTAACAGGGATTATTGATGGAATTCCGTTTTGTCGTTATTATTTTTTTTTTGTAACTACAAATTCAATAGTCTATGTGGTTCCACTTCTATTAGGCTAAATCATTGCTAGTTTGAAATACTGTATGTCATTTTCATTAGTTGATAAGAATTCAAATATCAATGAAAGGAGTGAAAATTCTTATGCCAAGTATTTGTATATTTAATTTATATGAAAATTAAAACTAATAAACAGCACAGTACTAATAGCTATCAATGGGATGTTCCCAATGCTGTGTTTGTAATGGTCTGTTAAATATCAATGAGGAGCTTCCATAATTGGGATATTATATATATGCTGTTTATTAGTTTTAATTTTCATATTTTTTTAAAGATGTGGAACTATAATTATTAATGATTTCAATCTTTAGACAGCTAATGAGTAACTTAAATTTTATTGGTAGAGACATTGGGTGGTTTTTTTTAAAGTTGCTTTAATTCTGAAATAATGTAAAATACTTGTCTGAAAAATGGGTTAGTGATTATTATTTGATTATAAACATTCTTACGGTTTACTTCCCTTTCAAAAAATCACCAGCATTGGTTCAGTTCACTAATCCTCAAGCTCAAGACTGCAGCTCAGCTAAGTTGCTCATTAGAACCTCACTATTTCCTTATGGGCAGATGTAGAAATTGTGAACAGCTTAGCCCATAGAGTTTACGATCCATAAACTTCTCATTCCAGAATAAATTCTGCTTATGCCAATTAAACCTAACTTTAGAGCTGTTCAAGCCCCCCTTGAACTACAGCAACCTAGGCAAGAATCAACAGATAATATCAGGGTGGAGATAAAAGTTATTACATCAAATGTCTGTTTTGAAAACTGCATTTCCCAAAATAATGATAATACAATCAATGTGAATGGATAGGTAGTAGGAAAGCATTCTCAAGTGATTCTATACTTTTTTCTCCTCTTTTGCAAATGCACCTTACAAGGTCAGTCACACAGACACATATACTTGTTTGCTTCTTGCGTAGGAGCAAAAAATATTTAGAACATTTGGAATGGGAGCAAGAACTCAAGATGTAAGCCCTTATTTGCCAATTCTTTTCAAAAGTGCTTTCTCTGTCTATACTGGCATTGCCTAGAAATGTTTTGATATTTTGCACCTCTGTTTTATCCAGAGAAGCTATGATGTCTACTACTGACTTAATAGTCTTTCCGTTAAAAAAAAAAATCAATAAGGAACACAAGAGTATGGCAGAAGAACGTGACAGACTGTGTCACCGAAAACATGCATATTGTGAAACCATGTTAGAAATGTTAGGAGGATGCATGTACATAAAGTCTTCTATGAATGAGGGGTCCTTGGTGCTCTCTGAGCCTGGTTGTATTCTTGTAGACATTTCATTACCCAAACTAGGTAACATCATTAGTGCTTTCCCAAAAGTGCTTTTTTCAAAGAGAGAAGCAACCTAGAACTAAGGAGAAACTTCCTGACAGTGAGAACAATTAATCAGTGGAACAGCCTGCCTCCAGAAGCAGTAAATGCTCCAACAATGGAAGTTTTTAAGAAGAGACTGGACAGCCATTTGTCCGAAATGGTGTAGGGTTTCCTGCCTGAGCAGGGGGTTGGACTAGATGACCTCCAAGGTCCCTTCCAACTTTACTACTATTATTATTACTGGACTTTTGTTTTTTGTTGACAATGTTTCTGAAGAAGCTTCTTGGATAAGAAGGGAAACATCTTCAGAAACATCTTCAAGATAAGACAAAATCCAGTTGCCTTTTGAAAAAGCACCTTTGGGACAACCAAATCAAATCAAACCAAATCAAATCAAATCAACCTTTATTGTCAGAGTACAATATGTGTACAATGAGATTGGCTAAGCCTCCCTTCGTGCACCATCACCACCACCACCCCGACACAGCTCACAATGACAGCAAACACACAATCTTATTGCACCATGTGAACTTACATGACCTAGATGACTGAGAGTCTCCATAGACTTCCTCCGTGCTAGTCATTAGCATTGATGATATTATCTAATTTGGGTAATGAAACATCTGCAAGAAAACAACCGAGCTCAGAGAGCACCAAGGAGCCCCTCATTTCAACCCTAGGCTACAAATATTCTCCTTTATTCTTCTGTGAATATACTGAGGAATCCCATTTATTCATTTTACATGCTGTATGCTGTAGCCCTAACCTTTCACAAGTTGTTCAGTGGGATACACAGAGGTGAAGCATACCAAATGTGCTCAGAGACCTTTAATGCTAGTTTAAAAAAAAAAAAAAAAAGTGACTTGACTTCTTTGCCGAATGGGTTGTTACAGCTCTTGTATGGAGACGATAATTAAGAAAAGAGGTCCGTGTATCTTCTTTGAATGTGTTACATGCCTCATATATCTTGGAAAATCCATAATCGGAGGAGGTTGAATTCACCTCTTTCCTTAAAAAAAAAAAAGCAATCAAAAATTAATGCCAGAATGTGGCATGGTTGAGTAGTGTAGATAAAACTATTTAACTATAATTCGTTAGGCGTTTCTGTTTACTTTTCCTTTGCCAGCAGCAAAATAAGAGTGGATATGTTTCCGTCCAATATTTGTTTTCTTATTTATTTATTAAAGATTACTTAGCAATATTGTCCTATATTAACAGACTTCCTCTTTGTTATCAGCAGGATGGGAAGGAACTCCTGCTTTCAGCTATAAACATTTTTAATATTTATATGCATGTTTCCTTGATTATGATACATAGTCTTGCATTCTAGTTCATAAATTACATTTTAGGATCAAATCATTAATTGTTAACATCTTTATGATAGTTTTATAGGTCTCTGTATATCTAGGATTTCTAATACATTTTTAATGGCATGCTAATCTATGAGATAAAAGCTTAGTAACGTAACCTCCAGCTATCTCAGCATGTCACCAAGCTGTCAAAGGCCCTTCTTTGAATACCTTTGGGAAGGTATAGGTCTTGGTATAATATTGCTGCTTTTAAAACATGTTCTAGCAACATAGTACTGTAACCCAGACTAACATTTTTTTCTCCACAACCTTAATTCTGATATGATTTGCATTGGAAGTTGCAAAATCCTTTCATATTGGTGACACTTTGCTCTTTATCATAGGCAATCAACTTGAGGAAATAACAACAGTGCAATTTATTACCTCTCTGCAAAATTGGCAAGCTTCCTATTTTCAGAATAAGGGCCAATGTGAAGAGCATTAAATTGCCTTTAAATAACATCTACTCAATGGGTTAAGTCAAAAGAGTATAACAATTAGAAAAAAATAAAAGCTGTTATTAAAAGCTGTTACCCAGCCAAACATTGCAATTTCGAGTCCTTTAGAAGAATTTATTACACCTAACCTGTTAGATTTACTAGAAAATTTAATACACTAAGCTTGAATTATGCTCTTTTAGATTCCTCACCAGTATGCTTTCATCTAGCGATATAACAAGAAAGCAGTAAATGCTTGCAAATTAATACAATATGTTTATTCACAATGTTGGACCTTCTCTGGTGGTTCATCAAAAGTGAAATTACAATAAATAGCAATAGCACTTAGACTAATATATACCATTTCATACAGCACTCTTTGAGCAGTTTACAGAGTCAGCATATTGTCCCTAACAATCTAAGTCCTTTTACTGACTTTAGAATGATGGAAGCCTGAGTTAACCTTGAGCCAATCAGGATCGAACTCCCAGCAGTAGACAGAGTTAGATTGCAATACTGCATTCCAATTACTGCGCCACCACAGCACACTAAAATAAAATAAAAACCATTAAAACAGCTACTGCATACTCAACATAAACTTGTGCTACAGATTGATCAAGGACTGAAAATGATGAGATTCCTGTCAATATTTGTATTTGTATCATGTCTGCAATGTGACACCTATAACTTTCTTTTTTTTCACCACTACATTCAACAGCCGTGAGAGCTGACCGAATGCGTGGAGGTCGGACCAAATTTGGACCCATGTACAAGAGGGACAGGGCACTGAAGCAGCAGAAGAAAGCTCTCATCCGAGCCAATGGACTCAAATTAGAAGCCATGACTCAGGTGATTCAAGCAATGCCCACTGATCTCACAATATCTTCTGCTATCCAGAACATCCATTCTGCCTCCAAGGGCCTACCTCTGAACCACACAGCCTTGCCTCCCACAGACTATGACCGAAGCCCTTTTGTCACCTCTCCAATTAGTATGACAATGCCACCACATGGTAGCCTGCAAGGTTATCAAAGCTACAGTCACTTTCCAAGCCGTGCTATCAAGTCTGAGTACCCTGATCCTTATACCAGTTCTCCAGAGTCGATAATGGGCTACTCTTACATGGATGGTTACCATCAGACCAGCTCACCAGCAAGTATTCCTCACCTGATTTTGGAACTCTTGAAGTGTGAGCCAGATGAGCCACAAGTCCAAGCTAAGATTATGGCCTACTTGCAGCAAGAGCAGGCCAACAGAAGCAAGCATGAAAAGCTCAACACTTTTGGGCTTATGTGCAAAATGGCTGACCAAACCCTCTTCTCAATTGTCGAGTGGGCTAGGAGTAGCATATTCTTCAGAGAACTTAAGGTATGTCATGCAATTCTTTCATGGGCTGTGGTCACTCTGAGAGTGAGGTGGGTGGTAACTGAATTGGACAAATAAGTGAACAAACAAAATAAGAGTTTTTGGTATATAAGAAAACCTGATTAGCGTTTGATTCATACAACTTATATTTGTGTATTGTTCTTTAAGAAAAAGCTGTTGAGAGAAACATTTCAAAATGTTATGACCATTTGAATGTCACTAATTATCAATGGAAAAGCTGAATTGGATGTTTAAGTCAATATTTTTATCTAAACCTAAAAAAATCAGGGCAGGAGATTCTGAGATCTTGCCTAGCTTAACTTAATCATGATTATAGGCTACTGTTGAATAATAGCATTAGTAGAAATAGACCAGAACAGTTGTAGCAATGAGTATGAAAAGCCCTTTGCTGCCCTATTGCCCATTGTTTCTTTCTTGGAAGGTAGAAAAAGAGGACTATTGATAGAGAAACAGACAAAAAAGCCTTTGGTAAAATATTTTGGAAGCAACATTGGGGAAAATAGATTTTATAGGTCCTAGTGTATGACTCCTGAAAGAAAGAGTTAAAAATATGAACTAGAATGGAGAACTTATGGCCTCCAGATGTTGCTAAAGCTTCACTGGCCAACCTGACTTTGATCAAGAAAAGTGGGAACCTGGAAAATCTCCAAATATTCTGGACTCCAATTTCTGGAAGCCCAAGTCAAGTTGGCCAATGAAGCTCTAGCAACATCTGGAGGCCATAAGTTCTCCACTGATTATCCTTTAAGCTATTGTCAATGAGTCATAAAATAAAAAAAATGATATGGGTCCATGAACATTCAACTATACTGCAAAAAAGACTATGTGTTGTACATGTTACGTAAAGTAATAAATGTCTAAGACTAAGCCTAGTTCTGTGATCAGGTGCATTATGAAATAAGAGTTATTCTTCTACTTGCTGGATTCAGTAAGATTCACTGAGCAAAAAAAGCAACTGTTAGATAGGAGAATAGTAACAGTTCTATTACTGAAAATAATTGTACTTTTAGGGCTCCATATATGCAGTATATTCAAGATGAAATTCAGGATCGACAAGTATTATATATGTTTTTAATATATAAACATGTATCCTGTTAGCTTGTACCACTCCAGAGTCTTCTAAAAATGGTGCAAAAACAGGTCTCTGGACAGATTGCTGAAGCCCAACAAAAATCCATATTCTGGAGAAGCAAGCTAATGGTGAGCAAACTGAGGAGAAGAATCAGAACAAAATCATTACTGAGTTCTTTTGACCAATGGAAGTAAGAATGTAGGATGAGAAGGTGGATTGTTTTAAAGAAGACAGTTGTAGGGAAGTGGGGAAATAGGATTGCAATCCACTGATGACAGGACAAAGGACAATGGGATTAAATAGCAGGAAAAAATATTTTTTATTGGTGGAAAACAGTGCTGTGTAAACTACCCACCCATAAAAAAAAGTAAGCATTGGAAGTCACTGGGAATGACTTTTCTCAATGCCTTTGAGTGATATTTGGAAAAGGATCTCAGATTTCACAGCTCTTATACAACCTTTCCTAGGATAAAGGACTAGAACCAACAGCCTTTTAGAACACGAGGCAACTGGACTTTCTTTTTACTCTTTGAAGAAGTTTCACTTCTCATTAGAGAACCTTCTTCGGCTCTGACTGGGTGGTGGGGAATGGAAGAAGCTTCTTGGATGAGAAGCAAAACATCTTCAAAGAGAAAAAAGAAAGTCAAGTTGTCTCGTGGAAAAGCACCCTTGGGACAACTGTGACCTGGATGACTGAGAATCTCCATAGACAGCCTTTTAGAACCCTTCATTTTTAAGTCTTCTGCTCCCAAAGCTGGAGGAAAGGCAGAAGCAGACAAACCTTAGTCAGTGTCTGAGGGAGGTGGACAGTTTAGAACTATGAAATATAAATAAACAAAAACAAATAAAAGCAGTTAAATTAGAGGTGCACTTTTGTAGCATCATCTTTTAGTTAGTAAATTGTTCCCTATTGCCGAGAGCCTTACTTTCTCTTTTTCCTAAAATTTATAACATCCTCTGTCCCAAGAGTTATTTTCCACTACGGGTCACATTTTGTGTACATATTGATTTTATGTATTATAGTTATTTTTACTACCTCAAAAGAGCTGAAGAAGGTTTTTAAAGTATATATACAGTATAATGTGCAGTTGACTAATTCAAATGGAAGCATAAGGAAAAAGAAAGCAAGGTGTTAAAAACCAGGTTAAACTGAGAACTTAAGATGCTACATTAAAGACCCAGCACTGCAAAGAGTTTTTAGAAATAGTATTTTGTAACTGGGATGCCACTACAGAAGCTTCTCTCCATTCATCTGGGGAATAGGATACCCACATTGCTCCTTTTAAAATTTTTGATGTGCACACATATTCCTTTGTCAGAAAAGACACAGTGTAGAAGCAGATTATGATCAGAATATCCAATGCACATAATTTACCCATTCAATTTTGATTTAGCGCTTTTTTTAAAAAAAAACAAACCTATTTTTAAGGAAATCTTCTCAAAACATTTGTAATCATCTAACCCAGAAATTCCCAATGTATGGTTACCAAAGCTATAGGCTATCTATGTCACAACCTTCTGGAATGTATCTCGGAAGGTCTAAAGTTTTGCATAATCAGAAGTCGCCGTGTGATAATAAATTACCATGTTATGGAGTACAGCTATATTTTTTCCTCTTATTAGCTTGGAAGGTTTGCAGATAATCTTTTACTTTTTATATGAAAGAATGTTAGAGTTGATTAAAGTCATAGACACACCATGTCTATGTTTAAGAGGTAGGGCCCAAATATTGATGGAAAATAGTGAGAATGGAGTGTTTGAATTTCACTATATGCATTGGATAGAATCCATAACATCACATGCATTCATTGTGGCTTCATCAAACAAATAACGCAGATGATCTAATCTACGCCGATTGCATCACGATGTGAATGAAATACAGTGCATTCTTTGCATAACCTACTCAGTGCTATCATGCATGATGTTAATCTTCTCTTTACTTCATCTACAAAGAAACTGCCATAGGTGTCTTCGTAGGCGCAAGCGCCTAAATATGCAGTATAAGGTTGTGACAGAAACTCTGCCCCTTACACAGTGGTGGGATTAAAATATGTGAACAACCGGTTCTCTGCGTGAATGCAGCTTCCGGAAGTCCATTCTGGGCCTGGGCAACAAAAAATTAGCTACCCGTTCTGCTGAAGTAGTGCGAACTGGCTGAATCCCACCACTGCCCTTGTGTACCAGTATGTGACATCATGACACAAGTATGAAACGGCAGGTCTTGCATTGCAACATTGCAATACACATTTCATCATCTGGGTTAGGAATAGGCCCCGTGAGCATGCCTTTACCTTTATTTTGGAAATGGACATAGAATATATCCTGAACCCAAATGTTCCAAGCAGGAACATTTTGTTACAGAATGCTCCCTTATTCATTTTTTATTCCCAGTCATCAATTAAATTCAAAGCAGCACGTACATGATCCAGAGAGATCAGTGGCTGAATTTGCTTAGTTGTAGCAGGATTATGATATCATGTACTCCCAAACCACACATCTTCAGGACATTTCTAAATCTCACCCACTTCTCTGCTATTCTTTTCCACTGGTTTCCCATCTATTTATGTTAACTGACGTAATAAATTTTGTAAGAGATTGTTCGTGAAACACCATCTTCTTTTATGTAAATGCCATGGAAAATTTTAAAGCTGCTGTTCCAGAGAGATCTTCAGCTTCCTTCCTTAATTTTAGGAAAACTGCTTTTTTTAGATTAGCGAGCAGATCTGGAATATTAAGGGCACAGCAAGACACCTTCTTAATTAATTGTCATGGAAAGAATTTTTATATTCACAAAATGGCTTCTGTGATGGGTGTGGCCAGTGATAAAACATCCATTTATGATGAGATTGCATATGTCTGCTTTTTAATTAAATAAATCTTTTAAAAATATTAAAACCTGGAAGGTGCTTTGGGGTGTATCTATAAGTCTAATGGTGTCCATGAATACCACACTGTATATCCCATCTTAACTAAGAATAGTTAGGAGATAATGATAACTACAGCACTGTGCAGTCAGGCATGAAGATTTCACTGGTTTTTCCTTTAAAATGTGATGACAACAAGATCCAGGCAGTTTTCAAATTACATGGCCATACTCTCTCTGTATGAGCTCTCTGGGCCAATCATGGCCAAACTATAAAGCAAGGAATCAATCTCTCTCTTCTATATATTATGAATTCAGATTTTTAAAAAATCTGAATTAAATTTTCTAGAATGTTTGTTTTGCACACCCTTGACTAGTGAATGACTAGCATTTTGCCCATATTAAATGATTGGTGCAAGGAGACAGAAGAAAGCAGTAGCCCAATTCCTTTTGTCTCTTGAATTACTTTTATAAAAGACCAGCTTTGTAAGTTGGTAGAATTACAAATTTTAGGTTTCTTTTAGGGGCAGCCTTAGCCATTATTGTTCCCGAGGTAACCTGCAAATGGGATTCAGTGATAAATACATATTAACCTGTCTGCTAAATGTGGTAGGTAGGACTTCTCATTCTGTTTAATAGCACAATGGTTACTTTTATGGTGTATGGACGGCAATCCTAACCTAAGAGTCACATTTATGATGTTGATTTATGCATCACATCAAGCTTGGTTTTTTTTCCAATATAGTGTGAAGTAGGAATGTAGTCATGTAACTTACTGTAGATTGCAGAACAGTAGATTTACAACTCAACCAAGTTTTTAAGGACTTAGAGCCGGGTTTACCAATCTTAACAGAATAACAAAGTTAGAAGGAATTTTGGATGTCTTCTAGTCCAACCCCTTGCTCAAGCAGAAGCTCTTATGCCACTTCAGACAAATGCTTGTCCAATCTTTTCTTCAAAACCCCCAGTGATGGAGTACCCACAATTTCTGAAGGCAAGCCATTCCACTGGTTAATTATTCTAACTGTCAGGAAATTTGTCCTTAGT